ACGGGCGAGGCGTGCAGGCATCTCCGCGCCGCACCAACATAGTCTTGAATCGCAACGGTACGTGATTCGCGGCGCGCCCGCCGCGTCTGCTGAGCTGCAACGCTCCCCCACCTTGACTCACAACTGTGGCTGCATGGCTTCACAGGTCAGACGAGCCGGCCGGAAAGCTGATGCTCCGTGCCGCGGCGCTGGCTTTATCTCGCTTCCTTGACTGCACAGCCCCTTTTCATTCCGCACACCCATCACCCAGCCCCGCTTATGTTTGGACGTCGAGGATTTGAACCTCGAGGTCACCGAGCCTGCTGCTCTTGCTAATCTGCTCCTCGCGCCGACCAGCTCAAGCAGCGCGCCGCTTACGCTCCAGGCCTTTGAACGTACTTGGTCAATCTGAAGCGCCATCCACTACGGCGCGCCAGCAGCTCTGCGCTCTGACTACGACTGACACTCTTGACTTCGACCGACTTTCAAGTGCATCCCATCGACCTGGGAGCCACGGGGCTGTGTGTGCTGGCGGCCTAGTCACCCGCTACGTTCTGTCCGCATCCATCGCAGTGTCCGCAATTGCGCTACCCAAGATGACAACCATGCCGTTGCTCTTTCTATATCATCCCGTAACGACGGCGGAGCTCAATGCTAGGGATCAGCGCTGGCGCCTAGCACGAGAAAGGGCTTATGCGCGAGCTACTTTCGCAGACGACGCGACGTTGGTCGGCTCGATGGCACGCTTCGCCGCCGCCCAACATCGATCTCGACGTTTTAGCCTTGCAGCTCTTGGCCAGTCACAAAATCAAAGACGGACGTCCGGAAGCTTGCTGAGCTACGAGAGCGACTCAACTAGAGTGCAGCCGTTATCTAGGCACGCCTCGAGAGTCTCCAGACCTCAAGTGGTTGCGGCTATTCGAGCATGGGAGCAAAATGTCGACCACACTGCTTTGCCGTCACATGTGGAAGATGAACAAATCGTAACGCAATCCGACGCAGGTCTGGATTTCGACGCCACCGTTACACCTTCTAGGGCCGCGGCATTCGCAGCTGCGCTCGAGCGTTCCGCACATCAGCGCTCTTCTGGCCCGCGCGCATCGGCTGCTCGATCTCAATCAGCACAACGAGCGAGCGAAGCATTGTACACCCACGACGTACGAGGTGACAGCGTCGGCAGTGCTCGTAGCAGCCTCATCGATACCCGTCATCGGCGGGGCTTTCGTAGAGGCGTTCGAAGGGCCTGGAGACGATGCGTCAACGCCGTGCATGCTTGATGTCCTACATCGGTCTCCTCCACGCGCACACTTGTACGACCCGTCCAGACTAACGACGCCACACGACGCAGCTTGCCAATCATATTCAGCAGATCTCATATCTCTCTTCTTCAATACACGGCTTCGATCTTACCTTTATCTTGCGCAGCGTCGCAGCTCAGAATCTGCTTGCTTCATTCAAGGGAGCAATTCGACATCTTCAGGGCAGAGGAAATTCATATTGGCCTTTAATTCAGCTTCAAACAAGCTCTCCCAGATTACGCACCGATGTCACGAATCATTCCTGATCTCGCCTACCGTGTCATCCTCGACGCGACTTCTGACCGTCTTCAGAATGTGCATGAGCTTCACCTCGAGCACCACAGACTCTGTTCTCGTTTCAATCTGCACACATTTGCAATTCTGCTCACTTAGTCCACTCTCGTGTATCATCATTCTTCATTTCGCCGTCTCGTCATTACTAATCGAATTTGCAAAGAGGAGAGCTCATCGGATCGTGTATAAAAGTGATGCTGCTTATCAAAGTCGGAAATAGCTATGAAGTGCTGAGTTGAAGTTTCTCTTAAACGCTGCGTCAGAGATCGTGATAGTGTCGTGCAAGGCGCGAGAGGATGATGGAATACTCGACAGGCTTTCAGGTCAAGTATGTTCGAGTGTCTGTATCACACTTTGCGAGTCCTTCTGCGACCACCACCGCAGCGGCAGCAGAGCACCTTGATTGTAGCGAAGCGTGGATACAGCGTCAGCAGGGGCAAGCAAGGTCACGAGGGCACAGCACGTAGACTCACATCTCCGATGCAGTTGAACACTGCAATGAAGGCCGTGGCGATCGCACTGACGATGCTGTTCAGGATTCGAGCCTGAAGAAAGGGTTCGTGCTGCAGATCAGCACGCAGCACGTCGACCTGCTGGGACACGCTCCACGACTTACGATGCCGCTAAAGATGGCGGTAAGGGCTCCCGCGATAGCTGTGGATGACCATGCGCAGTGTCCAGTGAAAAAGATGGTCAGCTATGCGTACCCCACGAATTCTGTTCAGTTACAAGAGCGCTCACCGGAGGTGATGGAGGAGAGGCAAGAAGCGACGGCTATGGAGTAGGGAGGTGGGGCAATCTTGAGCAAGGTGAAGGCCACGACGTGTGGTCTGCAGGTCGGACTTACCACCCATTCTGGCGTGTAGTGATTTCTAGAGGTTGCGACGATGTGTATGAAAGGCGTTCTGGTCGCACTTGGTATTTTGGATGATGATGGTGGTAGGTGGACGTCACAAGCAAACCACAGAGAGGGCTCAAGGATGGATTTGCTGAATTGAGGCGATCGTGGAAATCAACCTGCCGGCAATCCGACGTCACCAGTTTGCACAGAAAATGTAAAGAAACTCGACTTGTGCAGTGCCTGTAGTCAATGCGCGAGACGCAGTGGTACATCAGAGCTTTGCCTTGCAGCTCTCGAGGCTGTGCTTGGCTTTCATCATCGACGCACTCAGACTCTCGATTGGGCGGGCAGGAGAGCGGAGCTTCATCTTTCCACAAATGGTGTGGCTGGGCGCTAAAGCCTGCCCCTTCCGTCGTGACCCGTGACGTGACGCCTGACTCTTGAGCTATCGTTGGTGCGTCGCACTTCTCCGGTCTCGGGTCAACGTGCTGCAAACAAGCTTGACTCGAGGTGCCCACGGTGCGGCACAATTTCATCGACAGGTAACCCCAAGGCTGTCAGTCCGGTCCCGCTGCGTCGCTCTTTCTTCGCAAACAGGCCCGCGTCATATATGATGCTGCAACCACGAATTCGATCCAAGCAACGGCAACGAACAAAGCGGTGACGTCGGAATAATTTATGGGACCCTGCTCTCTGATAACGCTGGCAGCAGGTACAGGAGCACGCTGCACAGCGTCGGCATATGCTCCGACCAGCCTATCCGGGCCGCACGGGAGCTGCGATGTGCCGCGACTCAACGCCTGACGATTGTGTGTCTTTACCAAGATTAGTGGTGAAAAAAGAAGTGAGGCATGGCGCATGCAAGCGAATTCAAACCCATCAATGATGACGTCGGCTTCGTGCCTGCAGTTGCTATCGGCAGCTTTGAGTCGCAGTGTGAGTGTGAGTCTTGGGTTTTGCTTCTTTTAGCCATGGAAGCGCGCCGTTTGACGTGCCGTGGCTTCACTTGACCGATCGATGCTTAGCTGCAGTCTCAGCGCAATTGTGAGCTGCTCGACCTACCTGTTGTGGGTGCTGCGCCATCGCTGTCTATGGCTGCTGTTCAAGGGCCGGCGAGGGGCTTGCCGTATCAGGATCGTGGCGGATGCAACCAGAGCACCAAGCCATCCTTGCTTCGATGACGTCGTTCATGGCCTTTCTCCGCCGCTGTCCGATCAACGCGGGGAGGGGACCCTGCAGGTGTCTTATGCACGTGACTTCATGTCCGCTTTCCAGAGAAAGGTCCTCGATCATGACCGGTGTCCGTCGCACCCGTGCATCCGTCCTTCAACATTCACTCAATACTAACCCTTGAATGCTTCACGACTTCAAATGATTGGGCTGGAACAGAGTGAAGGGGTTAGCGAAACGTCACTGAACTGTGCCTCGTGGCAGGTTGACGTTCTAGTCAAGGAGGCATTCACGTGATTTGTCAAAAGTCAGTCGAGGACAAATCACGTGGATCTTGAATGAAGAAAGAGGAAATGCCTCCATTCAAATTCGTTTCCTCTCATCAATTCCGAATGTTCAAAGTGTCGTCTAGAAGCAAGTATCGCATCAAAGGCCTAAGTCGATCGTCAAATCCTTGATTGAAATCACAATCAGATCAGAATCATTAAATGGGCGACTTGTGCAGTCTATTCATCAGACTCAAGGACGTGTGACTCAAGACTGATGATAATTTGATTCAGACTTGAACCTCTCAATCAAGAATGCTGAGGTCGAGTCATTCTTGATTTATTCATTTTGATTCAAGATTTGATTCGATTCAAGATTGCGCGCGTGCGCGTGCGACACGCGCTTTCATCACGTGAGATAATTCGACGCGTGGGAGAAGCGCGCCGCGCGAAAAAAGACCCGCATGCCATGGTGCATGGCGAAGGCACACGCGCACCAGCTAGCAGGTCGTGCTGTGGTCGTGTTGATCTGCATGTGTGGTGCGAGGCGAGATGGACATTCACATTCGTGATTTGAGCCAAGGTGAAGGTTGATCAAATCACCGATGTTGTCCCCGCCTTGTTCCGCGAATGACCCGCCTCGACCACATCGCGGTTGACGCACCCTCTACGAACTCTCTGGCAGCCGCATCGCGCATTTGCTCTTTACACTTGCTGCTACAAGTTCGCGTGCCAGGAATGCGGGACTAGGCCGCAGGTAAAGCATCGAAGAGGGACAGCGTCCAGGACTGTCCATCCAAATCACCTCTTTTGTGCACTTGAGAGAGAAAAGGGCGGCAGCACAATGAGCTTTCTAGGAGCTTCTTCGGTGGACGAGGATGAGGTCAGGCGGATGCGCAAACAGCTGAAGCAGCAAGGTGAGTAGCGCGGCCTGAAGAAGCACTTGCGAGCGACAGGGCTGAACACATGCTGTGCACTTGACTCAGACATGGAAATCGGTCAGCTGCAGAGCCTCAAACAGACATATGAGACTGAGCTAGCATTCCTGCGCTCTGCCAAAGTAGAGCTGGCTACTCAGCTAGATGCAGAGACGCAGCGAGCAACTGCGGCGGAAGGCGAGGCGAAGCGTGCTAAAGACGAAAGAGCCCGAAGTGTGCTGCAGATCAGCAATCTTGAGACTGCGCTGGATAATGAGAAGAGAGCCGCGCAAGAAGGCTTGAGGGGCAGAAGAAGGGAAGAAGTTGAGAGGGATCGAGCATTGGGTCTTCACTCGAGGGAGACGGAAGAGGAGCGCAAGCAGCTAGAAGCGAGGGTGAAGCAGCTCGAGAGCCAGCTGGGCTTCAGCAACGAGGAGCTCCGCAGACTACAGCAGTCCGAGGTGAGTCCGGCTGCTTCATTTCGGACAGAAAGAGAATTGCTGACTCACGGCACCGGACCATCCTTTTCAAGGTATCGACAACGAGGCGTGCCGGCCGTGTCGATCCTGCAGCTCATGCACTCGCACTGGAAAATGAAGTCAGCGTGCTGAAGTCGGAAATCTCCAGGCTGCGAGAAAGCAGCTCTGCCCTGGGCGCAGGGACGCCTGTCAAGCCTGCTGGCAGCCGTAGGCGTCCACGCCGGTCATCTATTGGAGGCTCTGCCCTCGCTCCAGGGGATGAGGGTGAAGTCAAAGCTCTGCGCGTGGACGTCGCAAAATTAGATGAACAGGTCAAAAAGGCAAACGAACGAGCAGAGAAGGGCGAGAAAGCAGCACTCAAAGCTTCGAACGAGCTAATTGTCGCACAGAGAGGCCTGGCTGCTGCGAAGGAAGCCGCAAAGGAAGCGACAGACGAGCTGCGCGAAGAGCTGAGGTGGGCGCAAAAGGAAGCAGATGAGCTCAGGTCAGAGCTAGACGCCGGCTCGAAAGGACCGTCCAAGCGCGGTGCGCAAACAATGGATCCAAAGGTCCAGCAAGAGCTTCAAGATGTCAAATTGCAGCTCGCCTCGAAAGTGCAGGCGTGTGCACAGGTCGAGGCGGAGCTCATCACTTGTACTCGCCAAGCGGAAGAATCATTGACTCGCGCACAGGCGGCTGAGAAAGCCGCGAATGCGGCACAAGAGCGTGTGCGGGCCTTGGAAGCTTCGGCGTCTGCCGGCGAAGGTCTCGATCCTCAGAGGGACGGAGCTGCGGTCAACGCTTCAAGCTCGAGTAACGAGGGCCGCGTTGTCAGAGAGCTTCGCCGGGAGCTGAAGAGCGTGACGCAGGCGCGAGATGCTCTGCAAGTGGAGATCAGCCAATTAGAAGACGAGTTTGAGAAGCTGGGAAATCATGGCGATGGTGCTTCAAAGAACGACGAGCTTGCTTCGGAGCTTCGTGAGCGGGTCAGGTCTTTGGAGATGGAGCGGGACACTCTTGCTTCTCAGGCAGCTGCGCATGTGTCATTGCAAGATGTTGGTGGCAAGAGTGGTGAGTTTGACAGGTACTCAAGGCTGTCAGTGCTGAAAGGTCTTTCTGCTTATATCAACACGCGCTCGAACCATGCAGAAGAGATTGACGCTCTGCAGGAGGAGCTCGAGCAAGCAAACGCCGAGCGGAACCGCCTGGTGAAGGATCTCGAAGAAGCCAGAGGTGCGCTGACTGACGCTTCTGAACACCACCGTCAACTGCAAGAGCGGCTGTCAACCCAAACAGAACATGTGAGCCAAGCTCAGGATCGGATGGCCATGCTGGAGCGCGAGCTGGAGTCCTCGCAGCCATCATCAGCCGACGGCTTGGCGTTGAACGAACTTCGCGCGCAGCTTCAGCAGAGCGAGTCAATGATACAAAGTCTGCGGGCGGACGTCTCTGCTGCCGGCGATGCTGTTTCAAGTGCGCACAAGGATTTGCACTCGGCAAAGTTGGGCCGACAAGAGCTTGAACAGCGTCTTGCAGAGAGCGAAAGGCGGCGCGAAGTCGCCGACGCAGAGCTGACTGCTCTTCAAGCAGAGGCTGCTGCTCCCGAGGAAGTGGAAGACCTAAGGAAGAGACTCGATCAGGCACTGCAAGAGCTGGATGCAGCACGACAATCGGTTCGCGAACGTGACGGACTCTTGACGCAGCTCCAAGACGCGGCCGAAAAGGCGAACGAGGCTCTTCAGGAACAGAACGACAAGATCGCACAGCTCGAGAGGCTCGCCGGAGACGCTGAAGCAGAGGTAAGTGAGATCAGCGTCGTGGAGCTGAGGCCTGACTGACCGCAATCTCCTGCAATGTGCCACCAGCTTGACGCTCTGCGATCTAGGAATGTCACAGATGTCGGTCAAACGGCAGACTTTGATGCTCTGAGAACGCAGTTGCAGGAGAGGGAGGGCCAACTGAGCGATACGCTTCAAGCCCTGCGTAAGCGCGAGGGCGAGTTGGCTTCGGCTAAACGGCGTGTCCAGCGCTTGTCTTCTGCAATCCGGGTATCGTTCGGCGCGAGGGGATCGGAAGATCCATTGGCTCCCTTCGCTGGAGATGAGAGTACCGCTACCGCTGTCCAGGACTCAGACGTCTCTATTTCGGTTCTTTCAGGAGCTGAGGACTCTTTCTTCATAATGCCCGGCGCAAGGCCCAGCA